TAAAAAAGCGAACAGTAAAGAGGAAAACTGGATCAGGAGGTCACAACAGAAAGAGGGATCATCATTTCAACTTACAGCTAAAGAGATCAATTAGAAAAGATCCACTTCAATCCATAAGACGTTTGGTACTTGAAAGAGGAGTTTTACCTATGACAGTCCTGTGTTGGAATGTGTCACGAAAAAATAAATGATTTCGTCTCTTTCTCTCCTGCTGTCGTAGCGACGGGCACAGTCTCCACTTCTCAGACTGAAACTGCCCTCCTTCTCATTCCAGCCCTTTACATAGAGCTTGGTAACTCACCTATGCAAAACACTAACAAGCCAGCTACCAATCACAGTTCCCGCGCCTGCCCACCTCCACTCGATATGGGGGTGTCAAGTTGACCGACCAACTCATTACATGCCCCCCAGATCTTAAGATCACAAAGCTTCTCAGTTCGAGAGATGGTCGCATCTGTCTGGTGACTGCGTCCGCATATATACAACTTGCACGCTTGACATATTGGGATAACCACACATGTGCGAACTCGTTTGCTCCGAGGTGGCAGATTTCCAGATTCATCCCGTGTCTCCGTGCAACTTGGGGCAGGCCTCTTCTGCCGGGCACTCCTTCTGAGCGGGATGACAGGGTCCTCATCCTCGGATGAACTCTCATCCGTTGAGCTACCATCCGCCTCTGGACAGCTAGCCACGTTGACGTCCGTAGGTAGAGTACTGATGTTTGAGGTAGAACTCAGTGGATCCGACTTTAAATACACCACTCGCGCACCATCTTCAGAGTCACTTTCATCATCTGATGATGGTTTTAACCCTACAACTGGCCGCAAGTCTTTAACATGACGCGGCACGCCATCGACCCGCACTGACTGTGGGCTGATAATCTCGGTAACATGCCCCATTCTAAGCTTGCCCGTACACTTGCTGTGCGGGGTCTTAACCCACACTACGTCACCAATTCTGTATTTTGCTTGCGCGTCGCTCGGAGGAATTGCTATGTCAAGTAGGCGTAAGTGATAGGCGTGCACCATGTTAGCCGGTGCTGTTGTAGGCGAAACACCGTCTTTAGGTGTCGCATTATACCAATAGGCTGCTTCGGGGATCGAACATCTCTTCCTGGCTACAAACACTTTTATAGACCGGTGGTTCCTTTCTACTATGCCGTTTCCCGCCGGCACGTAGGCGCACCGGAACCGAAGCCGCACACTCCACTTCCTTAAGAACTGCGAGAATTGCTCTGAAGAAAACGCCGCACCATTATCTGTCAATATTTCTGCAGGTGGCCCCCGGTCGTAAAAGATGGACTCCAATTGACGTATTATGCTGGCAGTGTCCTGCCGGTGCAGTAGTCGCCAAATGGCGAAGCGAGAGGGTCCACAGTCAATAATAGTCAAATAGTGCTGGCTGCCAATATGCGTAACATCTATCCCCAGCCTGTTCCAAACATGGGTAGTACTCAAATTTCCTTTTTGCCATTGCACCGGTGCCGGGTCAATTGACTGGCATGCCTCGCGCCTCTGCACTACTGTCCTAACATCCGTCTTTTTGACTGCAGGGTCGACCATCTTGAGAAGTAGAGCGTCCGTTTAATCCCGAGATGCCCACACTGTTCATGTATGCTCATGATCCGCTCGAGGTCCATACTGAGCGCAGAAGCCGTACACGGCAGCTGCAAATGTTCAGACTCTTTCCGAGCAGGAGCCAACCAACGTTGCGGAACGCGAGTCAATGCATTTGCTCTGTTGACTGCCGATTTAACTAACACTACATCCACAGACAGGTTGTACACTTTGATAGTTTCAATCAGTGTGGTGAGCCGCCTTCGTATCAACATCTCGCTCGATGCCTTGGTGGTCAGGCGCGCTCTTCTGCTAAGTGCATCTGATATCCAACGCTGAGTGCATGCTGAGTCCGTGACGATGTGTAGCACTGTTGCTTGCCATTAGAGCGCCAGGCTAACCCCCTTCAGAGTGACGTCTCATTCAGCCAGGTTTATGTGTCGTACATCATTTTCAGGTCGTAACCAGCAGGCGTCTTCTATGATGGACCCGTTATCCTCAAGGGTAACACCCATGGCCAACGAGCTGTCATCTACCCAAACGGTGAGCTCGTTCCCCTCGCACGGGATCGTCTTGCATCACTCTCTCCATAGTTTCAGTTATCATACATCTTAGGGTAATGTCGTGCACCTCGTCATCCCATCCTGACAAAACAGAAGTTACGCGGCGCTTTATGACTGCTGTCGCCACTCTGAGCCAACCGCATACGGGAAAATGGCCTACCAGTTTCCCACACATGGAGAAGGTACTTCGACGAGTGATCACTGGCGGAACTTCCGTGACATCACTACATCGCCTCCAGCGAAGTTTTTCTCCATCACTACTGACGTGTAGTCCAAGTACATTCGCTCCATCCTGTAGCGGCTCTGGGGCCTTGCACACCAAGCCAAAGTGATCCAGATGTTCCTTAACCCTCGTTGAAGAGGCTACTTTTTCATTGACGTAAACATCGTCAATGTAGGATGACGTTTCCCTTCGAATTTCCTCATCCTGCGACATGACCACATTCATAATCGCTGACATGATTTTTGGAGCCACATTAAGACCAAATCCCAATCGAGTGAGGCAATATCTCTGTCCTTTTACCATGACAGTCCGAAAGGGCCAGAGTGATCGGTGGACTCGGACTTGGAGGTAGACCCTTCTTAAATCGAGGGTGGCCACGTTGCTCCCTTGCTGTCGCCATTCCCGCAATTTCTGTGCACAAACGTCCGCGTTGGCCGTATATGCATCTAAAAGGTATTCAATTCCCTGTAGTCCATGACCGGTCTCACTTTCCCTTTATTCTCTTTCACTATTGCCATCAACGGAATCAGTCCTCGAGGCGGCCCTAACTCCTCCTCTGGGTACGGCGCAAGCCAGCCGTTTGCTATCCAAAGCTGCAATTCATTTTCGTATTCGCCCCTGAGATGCTCTGGAACCGGGTACACTGCTATTTTATTTTTCAATGGCGTGGGCGTTCGTCGACCCGCCCACTTCCACGTTGCGGTCCATACGCGCCTGCGCTGGTCGAAAGTTGCACTGAAGTCAGGTTCGTTAATCCTCAAAGCAGTACAGATGGGCGGATCAGAAAACTCAACTTCGCCTGCCTCTGTGATGCGTACGCCGCCCAGCTCCTTAATAATATCCATCCCAAGGAGCAGATCAAAACCTAATAAGGCGCTATCCACGACCAACACGCTGACTGTGACGGGGTTACCGTTGTTGATAGTGAGTTTGATGTTTCCAACTCCCCGGCTTCTGAGAGCTTTTCCATCAGCCGTTAGTACGTCCATCTTTTGTCTGCTCCGCTGTCGACAAATCGAACCGTTCGTGAGTGACCGAGAGCAGCCCGAATCTACTAAAGCGGTACGCACTATTCCATTGATGCGCACCTTAATCACAGGGAGCGCCTCTTTCATGCTCGGTGCGGAGAAGAGACCGGCTGACGTCGCATTCCCCATTCCATTTCCCGGACACTTAGAGGCAGACGTGCCTTTCGCGCCGACCCGCTGCGCATTGCTTTGCGTTGATAGCGGCAGTCTTTGGCAAAATGATTCGGCCCAGAGCACCGATAGCAGGTGACATCGCCATGGCGACGGATGGCTGGGGTCGGATCCTCTTTGACTTCAATTGGCTGAACGACTGCGGCCACAGGTTCATCAGCCTCTTTTTTGTCGATCATGATAGCACGGGCTCTGGTCAACAATTGGTTGAGCGTCATGTCTTACATTCTGGATGATGCGCGAAGTATGTGCTTAACATGACTAGGCAATCCAGACACGAAGGCACAGGTCATCCATTCTTCAGGAAGCGGTGCGATTGGTACGGCGAGCTTCTTTAATTCCGCCACATATACATCTACCGTCTCGCCAGGTCGCAGACGCCGCGCCTGGAATTGGTCATAGGCCACAAACCGGTCAGTTCCAAACGCGGTTAGTAGAGCGCGCTTTATTTGCTCTATGTCACTTTTCTGTTCTTTGCTCAGCTGCCTATACACAGCAAGGGCACCGCCTTTCAAGTGTAGTAGAAGAATCCGTTCAATCTTCGTGATCTCGCATAATTCGCAGACCAGTTCCACCTTTTCGATCCATTCAACCACAGATTGTCCACTCGTATCACCACTGAATTCGGAGATCAGTTTTATGTCGAACGGTCTTTCCGCCATCTTGCTGGAGACAAAGTAAATGCCGAAATAGCTTGTGTTGGAATGTGTCACGAAAAAATAAACGATTTCGTCTCTTTCTCTCCTGCTGTCGTAGCGACGGGCACAGTCTCCACTTCTCAGAGTGAAATTGCCCTCCTTCTCATTCCAGCCCTTTACATAGAGCTTGGTAACTCACCTATGCAAAACACTAACAAGCCAGCTACCAATCACAGTTCCCGCGCCTGCCCACCTCCACTCGATTTGGGGGTTTCAAGTTGACCGACCAACTCATTACAAGTCCAAAGATCAGTGAAAAAAGACTTGAGAATGAAATCGTACGTGAAAACTGTGAGGTACCAGGTTACTCCAGGACATAAAGTTAGAAGGTTAAATAGGGCGAAGATCTTTTTGAATAATCTCTCTATATTTCTGAGATGAGGTATTATGTACATTATTTAAATTATTCGGACTATTGTCCTCATCTTTGTCGCCATATTTATCACAACGTTTCGGCCGTTGTACGCTCCGGCCTTCTTCAGGTGGTTGGAATTTCGAACTGAACCCTTTATTTCTCAAGGACACATGGCACAGTGGATAAAGGCGTTGGTTAGATCCAGTGACAGGACCCAAAGAGTATGAGTTCAATACCCGGTTAAGGCAGAGGAGAACTTTCAGAGGGAAATTAGCAGGAGATTACTGATAATTGACATCCATCAAACATGGTACGTGGAACTAGAACAGTCTACCCCAGTGAGCGAAATAAAGGGTTCAGTTCGAAATTCCAACCACCTGAAGAAGGCCGGAGCTTTTTGAATAAGTTAGAAAATAATCCTGGAATAATAGATAGATAGATAGATAGATAGATAGATAGATAGATTTGAACTTTGTTTTAATACTTCATGAGCTTCCCATCCTTAGCTATGACTAATTAATGATGAACATGTCATTTTCGTTTATGGTCGATTTTATCACGATACTTCTGTTAAGCTTAAACAGTAATTATACATTCTTACTGTTCAGCCCAGAGTCCAATAGTATTATGAAAATCTCGGAGAATTCCAGTAAAATATTTTTTAATCATTTCTAAGATACAACGTTTCAGAACTCAATCTAACAATTGGACAATTTTGCTGTTACTCGATTTGGACAATTTTCCTGTTACACCCGGTGTATAAAGAAATGGCAGTAGATCGTAAAACTGTTATATGCCTTCGTTGTCAGGACTAGTCTTGGAAACTTTCTATCCATGTAATTGGGAAAAATGTATGACAGATATATGACTCAATATAAAAAAGTGTTACTACAAGATCTAAAGCAATAAGACTTAGTCAATACTAAACAAAACAATAAGTTAACACTTGAAGGATGAAATTATTCGACTGCTTGTAATAATAGTCACAAAAATACATGAGAAACCTCAAGGAATCTAAATAAATGATTAAATGAACACAAAACAGATATTTTACAAAATAATACATCAAATAGGTTGTTTGACCTACGTAATGTAACTGACCACAATTCTGACATAAAAGTGCTACTCTGATCAAAGAAGAAAATTCACTACGACGAAAATGTCTAGAGAGTGCCTTGATTCCAAGGTCATCTACAGTAGATTTGCACCCAGGCTCTTACAACTTTTCACCATTCCTAACAGAACTTATATTATCACAGTGTGAGGTATCTACTAAGAAAAGTGATGGAAAGAAAAGCTAAAAGAATCTAGATGAAATCGACTAGATAAAAAGAAAAACAAATAATTCCCAGCATCGCGCGCATGTGTAGTCGCAACAACATAAAAAGCTTAGTCCAATGAAGTCTTAAAAGATGAAACGCTTCACAAGAAAACTTCTTCCACTTTGTCATAGATTTTTCCTCAATATTGTTCATGATATATAAAAATATATATCGTTATCTCATATCCATGTAATTCAATATAAAAATAATGGTATGTATCAATGATTCAAAATAATCAATATTGCAGGACAATAGACAGGATCAACGTAACACTGGGCTGAACTTTTACCTTTCCGTTCTGTTTCATCCAGTTTACTCGAATGAACCCAGTTTGTAGATGTATTGATTCATGAAGCGATATTCCAAAATGACCAATGTCAACAATGCTTATTTTCTATATACTGACCGATTATTTATTATTGTGGATTCCGAGATGAAATTCGGTCTCCAATGAATGACAAACGCAGGAATTAAAGATAAGAAATTAAATGTATTTACACAATAATACAAAAGGTTATATTGTTAGTAAATCCAGGAACGCGGTTAGTAGCAATAATAATATATATAGATACAGTTTCGAAGTAGGAGTTCCTTAGAGTCTACGTGCTTGTAACTGTGACTTCTACAAGCGGTTACCTCACACTATTACTCTCCCTCCAACTCAATCACAATCTCTGCTCACACTCTCTATATTCTGACTGACTCTGGGTATTTAACGGCAGAAGTCCAAGTAACACTCTAGTCGATTCCACTTGTATCAATAAGGGGTGGACCCCATAACATTTATGAACCCAGTGTCAATTCTATTGATTAATTGTTCGTTATGCCTAATCGGATACATTGCTTACATTGATGAAACAATCATTCAAAGTGACAAATGTTACAAGAATTTACTTACGATCTACATTCTACGAGTTTACCAAATGCACAACTGTCCATTTTGAAATAATTCAATAAAAATGTTGTTGCATTAAAGAAATGATTCTTCATATTGACCAACTTCCAAACCGAGATTTGCCGCTCCCAACACGGTCCTTATGATTGGGTCTGTGATTCCTTGACATGATTCTCTAGGGTGTCTCAGAAATAGTAGTTGCGATTGATCAATTCCTAGTTTGGCAGTGAAACACGCTTCCGAAGTGTTAGTATGGCTAACTTTCTTTTTGTTTAATCCACCGTGAAACATTTTCCAAACTAATTTAAGTAAATAGAAAACTGACCTATCTTGACGATATATCTATTCGAAAAACAATTAAAATATGTGTTTAGACTTTTCAGGACACAGACATTTGTGTTACAGACGCATTGTGTCACTCTACTCGCTGAATATGTCACCAAAGTAAATTTATATGTATTTACCTCAGGAAAATGTACAAAAGGTCACATTTAAAATTTGAAAATAAGGAGGCTGGTGTTATTCTGTTATCGATGAATCTATATATTTTGGTCCGAACGCGCGTCAACCATTAAGCTATATTCTGATGGATCGATTGATTTTTTGATTAATGGCATATCAACTCCTTATGGGTCATTTTATGCCGAAATTTAATTTTCTTGGAAGCTTTGAAGTAGTAAATATATAATATTCTGCTTTCACAATTGAATTCATGGTAGAATCATAGATTGCGTATATACATGTTGGTGTGGACATAATGACTAGAGGCGGTGATAAGTGTGTTTTATGTTATAGTTTTGTTGAAGTTATATTTTGAAATACAGTTTGATTTATTTTAGAAATTGTAGGATATTATACGGATTAATGTCTTGAAAGAGTTCTTTCATGTTAGTTGTTCGGTAGTATTTTAAACGTATTTGGAAATTTATTAGTATGTGTTTTATTGTGAATAGTTCTTGGCATGGCTTACATATTGAAGGTTGCTCTTGTTTTAGGATATAAGAATGGGATATCATGGGGTGTTAGATATGAAATCTGGACATTATTACTTCAATTTTCTTTGTTTTTAGTGTTTGATACCATTCTTCTTTAATAGGTTTGATGTTGTATAATTTGCCATTAATATATGTGTTAATGCTTGATCTGAGGTCTGTATGGTGGATTTTGGTGTTTGAACTATTTTTGGCGGTTGGTACCTTTTTGGCTACCGAATCGGCTCTATCTTTACCCTTGATACCAATATGTCTAGGTATCCAGCAGAAGATGATATTATAGATTGGCAAATATTCTATTCTGTTTAAAAGTCTTATAATTAGTGGGTTTATCTTTGTTTTTCTTTTTCTTTTTTTTTTTGAGTGCTTTGAGTACTGACATCGAGTCTGAATATATGATAAGTGTTTTGTGTTTGCTTGTATTTGTGATGTCAAGAGACAAATCTATGTGTTGAAGCTTGGATAAGCATGGAATAATAATAATACAACACAAAATGTACGTAAACAAAATGTATTGAAACAAGGAAAAAGTACACAATATTTACAGTTAGTTTTGATATATTCTTGGGAAGACTGTTTCTGTAGAATGGGTTGACTTAATCGCAGTCGGGCAGAGTCTCTGGATTGCATCTCTTGATACTTCCTCCCGTCTTCCCGGTACCAACCATATTTATATGGTCGGTACTCCACTATGTAAATTAGGTGGATCGTACCACAACACTATGGCCACCACTTCTGCACTGAATATGGAACTATTGTTCGTAAGTCGCATCATTACTTTTGTTTTGTTGTGTATGGCTGCGTATATTTTCTATATCCTTATGGTGATTATACAAGAATTCAAACCTGTTCTTTGCGTTCAAATGCACAGACATTTCCATTTTTAAAAAAAATAAGCTATCTGTGCCTACAGCAGATTTTGAAACTTCCATGATTTTCTGTCAATGTGCGATTTTACGGGACGAATTGTCCCCACGATTCGCTTAGGCTGTTGGGGGTTAAGTGGCTTTATTAGGTCAACATCTCAGTGCTGGTTGCCAACTAAAGTTAGGAAACCCATTCTGTCCTGTTATTTAACCCATAGGTGACGGATAGAAGAAATAGATTCTTATCTTTTCCAAGATTATTTGTGCAAAAATTAAACGCTATGAATTCGGTTGGTCGATTTACCTTACTAACTGTTACATTATTCACACATTTTATTTCGTCTAAGTTATCGATTAAGAGAAATATTATACGAAACATTTGCCGAGTTTCAGATTTTGAACTTTAAGGAAAATAGAAACAAAAACAACTCTTGGTATCAGAAAGAAAAAATTCTAAACCATATAATGAAGAAAGACGGATTGAAAAATTTAACGGACAGAGTGGAAGCAAGAAGAGAAGAGTGGAGGCAAGAAGGGCAGAATGGAGGCAAGAGGGGGCGTGTGAAGGCAAGAGTGACAGAATGGGAACAAGAGGGCTAGAGGGGAAGCAAGAGGGTGAGAATGGAGGCAAGAGGGACAAAGTGGAAACAAGAGGGCTAGAGGAAGCAAGAGGGCAGAGGGAGGCAAGAGGGACAGAATGGAGGCAAGAGGGGGCGTGTGAAGGCAAGAGTGACAGAATGGGAACAAGAGGGCTAGAGTGGAAGCAAGAGGGTGAGAATGGAGGCAAGAGGGACAAAGTGGAAACAAGAGGGCTAGAGTGAAGCAAGAGGGGCAGAGTGGAGGCAAGAGGGACAGAATGGAGGCAAGAGGGGGCGTGTGAAGGCAAGAGTGACAGAATGGGAACAAGAGGGCTAGAGTGGAGGCAAGAGGGTGAGAATGGAGGCAAGAGGGACAAAGGGAAACAAGAGGGCTAGAGGAAGCAAGAGGGCAGAGGGAGGCAAGAGGGACAGAATGGAGGCAAGAGGGGTGTGAAGGCAAGAGGACAGAATGGGAACAAGAGGGCTAGAGTGGAGGCAAGAGGGTGAGAATGGAGGCAAGAGGGACAAAGTGGAAACAAGAGGGCTAGAGTGAAGCAAGAGGGGCAGAGTGGAAACAAGAGGGGTAGAGTGGAGGCAAGAGGGGGAGAATGGAGGCAAGAGGGACAAAGTGGAAACAAGAGGGCTAGAGTGAAGCATGAGGGGCAGAGTGGAGGCAAGAGGGACAGAATGGAAACAAGAAGGCTAGAGTGAAGCATGAGGGGCAGAGTGGAGGCAAGAGGGACAGAGTATAGGCAAGAGAAGCAGAATTGAGGCAAGAGGGAAAGAGTGAAGCACTTACCTGATGAGCTTGTGAAAATGGAAAGTGTATGATAGAACTGAGGGTCATATGGCTAGAAAAAAACAATCATTGCCAAAAGCTAAAATTTATAGCATATTGTGGAGAACCATACTCGCTTGCGTTCTGAAGGGACATAGCACATAAAAGAAAATACTTTCAGGGGACCCCTCTCTTTTTATATGCTCTCCATTTTATTTTCTGTTTGATTTCGTCTATTTTGGTTTCCATTTTAAGCGTGTGTGTGTGTGTGTGTGTGTGTGTGTGTGTGTTATAATGATAATCCCTTAGCTAATGATTCCAAGATCGATTATTTTACTATAATAAACATGTCTGACAGTCCCGGACGAAATTCAGTATAAACAAGCTGGCCTATATTCAGTTTATCTTCTACTGTCGTGGTAGCAGTAAAAGAAAAAGAAGAAAAAACACGACCTGATACACTTTTTTACCTGGACGAAGAATGGCGAGAGAAAAAAGAGGCAATCAAAGAACAAGATTTCTTGATTTCAAATAATTATGTCGAAATATGGATAAAGTTTTCTGATTTCAATTTCGTCATACCAACCATTCCTAAATCTGCGAAAATATAGTAAAAAGAAAAAATGGCTATACAAATTGTTTCACGAATGTTTTACAGGCTGCACGAATCTATTCCGTTGCGTGAATGAATCCATATCAGCAAATGACCAATTTCTACTTAGTCACGTGATTCGTGTTTTCTTTAATCACGTCGAGTTACAGAGAATTTTCTTTGTTCACGTCATCCGTGGCCCTTTTTGGTCAACCTACGTTTCTAAACATTTTACAATGTACCGTAGCAGTAATATTTGCTGCTACGTAACTTGAGCAAATTTCCTTTTTTTTTCTTTCTGACCAACACTATTTACTTTCCCTCCATGTTTTTTTTTCTCTTCATTTTTTTTAAGAATATTATTTTCACCAAAACAATTTGCTAGAATCACTAACCTAAATGTAAGGTAGATTCTTTCTCTAAAAGTCCTTCTCATGACTGCCATTGTAGTTGTCGATCATCTCAACATTTTGGTCTCTCTGTTAACGAGGGAATATGACGAGTAACACTGATATTGATTTTCAAACATTATTTGTGATTGTTAGAATGTCAGTTTTAAATAACTCAGAGATATTGATTTCATCGACAAGCAAATTGAACAACTTGGTTTATTTGAATCCCATTGACTGATGTTTATTCCTATCTTTGATTTCTATTACACAAATTCGTGTAGTACCCGTCAAAAGTACTGAATTATTTATATGTTCAATTTGCAATTCTCTTTTAAATATTTAAGATATCTGAACTACTTATTGTTTTTGTCGTCTTTCGAACTGTAAGTGACTAATTTAATCGGCTGCCTAATTAAAATATAAAAAATTGAAAGAAAATCATACATTTAGTTGGAAAAATATTATCTAAGATGCAACAGTTTTTATATATTATAAAATAATTTTAAAGAAAGGTGGAATGGAAAAGAGGGTTGTGAAAAAATATGGTAGTATAAACTATTAATAAGAAAATAACCTCTGCATAGGACTTCTATTACGTTAACATCCTATTCGTCGTTTGTAAAAAAAAAATGATATTAAATTTTTATTTTCTTCTCTGAAATTAATATTTCAATAATAATGAAATTTAAGTGAGAGTTTTCTTTTTGATAAAAATTCTAAGAAAATTTAGTTTTCGTTTCTTAAAAAGATTTTAAAGCATCAATATTGTTTCGAAAAAAAATCAGCAAAAGAAATATAATTGCAAAAAGAATTGGAAGTACTCAATAACTGAAAAGATTAAATACGGGGAAAAAATCGAAAGTTTCCAAGTAAATCTGATTTTATATTTAATCAGAAAAAAAAACGTTGGTTTAATGGATACGTCATTTACCAGCCTACCTCCGGGCCAGGCGTTTAAACTTCAACAGGGAGATCCCTTCATGACAAGGTGATAAGTAACATAGATATCTCTGACTTGCATTGATCATTTTAATGACGTTATATTCTATCAATTAAAAGTCCTTGAAAATATTCTAATTAAGTCAAAACAACCATCTTTTTGTAAGCAGAAGGAATAATTGTTAGGAGTGAACACAGTTTGTTTATAAAATATATATATATATACACCTCTCAAATATATTATTGAGACACGTATTTTCTTATTCGTGCTTCTTTTTTAGTCGGAACGCATAAAATATTTTACTTTACTCGACTGAGTTTTGATAAGTGAGGAAGAATAGCCGGTTAGTTCATTCTGTTATTTTTTAGTAGTAGTAGTAGTAGTAGTAGTAAAGAGACTGGCACTACAGAATCACAAATAAATTTACATGTAACAAAACCCATAAAACTTGAACTCTCTTACAACAGCAACAACTAAAATGCAAAGTACATGAAACTAAAACGGAAAATAATGACATACTGAAGATTGCACGCTACCTTGAACAAAAGGCTAGGAAGGAAACTCCCAACATTACTTTTTTAAGCATTTCCCTCCAAGCAAGGCGGAAGTGCCACTAGAACGCAGGGGGTTACTGAGAGTGAAGATGCAGGAAAAAAACTGTGTATAGTTGGGATTGCGGAAACGATAACACTTATGCTAACATCCCTTTCACTTTGCAAAATCTTTTTCCTGGAAGTCTTCTAATTTGATCTTTTTCACAACCTTTCAACAGCTATTTTATCTTTTAAAAATCCCCAAGCCTTCCGTTTCTCCAGGTTTACCGCCAATCTGTTAACGGCTACTGCTGAATTTGTCTATCAAGCTTTACATAAGGCTCTGGATATCTTGACATCTCAAAGACGTTCTACAGGATTTAGCATACTGGTCTTATCCACAAGCTCATGGGCTACGGTGTCTCTAGACTAATAATTGACTTAACCCAATCGTTCCAAATAAATCATGTAGCTAAGGCCGTGTTGTAAGGACACTATCCTTGAACCTAAGCTGTTTCTGATATTCATCAACGACCTTACTGATGTCATCAGTTTCCAATTATGTATTTATGAAGATGGCACAACTATTTACTCCTGTTTTAGTAGCGAGCCCGACAGATACGATGAAGAAAAACTGTCAACTGTTCTCGAAAAGTGCCTCCAATCAGTTCTTAACTGGTGCAAGGAATGGCTTGTAAATTTTAACGCCACCAAAACAAAACTGCTTTCATTTATTCACCACAGCTGATGCTGAACTCCAGGAGAACAATATTTTGCGCCTTCCTGGGATCACATTTTTCACTGATATGAAGTGGGGTGAATATATTTAATCAGTTGCTATGTGTACTTTTAGAAGCGTTGGTGCAAGATAATCCTTCTTGTCAAAATTTATCTGGAACATTTATAGATCTCACATTCCTCCGTGCATCTGTCTATATTTCTGAGATGAGGTACTATGTACATTATTTACATTATTCGGACTATTGTTCTCATCTTTGTCGCCAGAAATTTATACGCAAATGTTTTCAAGGACACATGGCACAGTGAATAAAGGCATTAATTATATCCAGTGACAGGACCCAAAGAGTGTTAGTTCAATACCTGTTTAAGGCAGTGGAGAACTTGGAGAGGGGAATTAACAGGGGATAACTGATAACTGACATCCATTGGACATGGTACGTGGAACTAGAACAGTCTACCTCAGTGAGCGAAATAAAGGATTCAGTTCTACATTCCAACCACCTGAAGAAGGCCGGAGCGTACAACGGCCGAAAATATGGCGACAAAGATGACGACAATAGTCCGAATTCCTCCGTGCACTGAATACTGCTGCCATGTCTGGCCTGGTTCTTCTATTATGTATATCAAGTTTCTTGACAAAATTCATTTACTTCAGTTATTTTCTCACTGTCGTGACGTGCCTTCCCTCTCTCTTTTCCACAAATATTCTCATAGCAAATGCACTGATGAGCTTTTCTCTCTAGTGTCTCAACGGCACGCATTTAAGCGTGCTACTAGGTCTCACCGTATTAATATTGAACTAACTAGATGCAACCATCAGTTCTATTCCAATATTTTCTTTTCTTGTACGTGAACAATTTAAATGCAAACTCAATCACGGGAGAATAAAGTTTAATAAGCAGAGCCATACTAATGATGAGCTGTGTACGACTATGTGACCTGAAAAGCACATAACTGACATCACCGTACATATATCACGGTTGGTAATCGACAACTATTTTCTTGATTTTTAAGCTATCAACATCTGCGTTATTCACTGTGATTAGTTTATTTACGTGCTTTTTAGTGTTTCTGTTGTTTTGTTTTTTTTTCTTTAATTTGGTTTAGAATTAACAAAGGAGACGGCGTGTTAAAAGTGTTCTAAAAATAGAAGTCTTGTCCAGGTCAACTGGCCGCACATAGCAGCTGACCACCAAGAAGCACACAGACCTCTCTAACTCCACAATATAAAATTACTGTGAAGCAGCCACACACCCTTGATTATGGCTAGAGAAGTAACCGATAGCGCTCGGAACAATTATAACTTTGGACAATTTCTATATTCCTTAACCCCTAAAACATGGAAAAAACTCAATAAAAAATTAATTAAATCCTCCATGTCGGCCATTTTCAATGAAAGATGCACACACACACACACATATATATATATATATATATATATATATATATGTGTGTGTGTGTGTGTGTGTGTGTGTTTAGGCAGCAGTCCTTCTTTCATGCACATTTCATTGAATACGACAGACAAGGTGCTTTTATTTAGTTTTTTTTCATACAATTTCTCATGCGATCTAATATATAAAAACTGTCTGAATGTCTTTTTATCCGAGCGATTTCGGCTATACATTTAGCCATTTTCAAGGATAAAATATTTTAACACTTAAATAAGAAATACTTTGTTGCATGTATGTATTTATATAATGTTTCCATTTTTCAAAACACAGTCAAGATATTGTGTCGATGTTCATAGTTGATATTATTGAGTGTTGTTTTTTTTGTTTTTATTAATAAGGCTTCCATTATTTTTAGCCTTCCTTTGCATGTAGATGATGCTATTATATTTGTGTTGTCAACAACTATGTTACGAATAGTGTCCATTAATGCCCATTAAGAGATTATACTCCTGATCAATCAAAATTAGTAAATAATTATATAGGCCATACTACAACATGTTTGACACGAAGACTCACTCTACATCTTTCTGACCATAGTTCAACTAGACTCATTTAAATATTCATGGAGAAATACTGAACCCTATTCATAACATACTTTTTGACAAAAATATAATAGCATCATCGACATGCAAAAAAGAAAGGCTAAAAATAATGGAGGCCTCATTAATAGTGTTTTGAAAAATGAAAACATTATATAAATACATACATACAAACAAACTATTTCTTATTTAACAGATAAAATATTTCATCCTTGAAAATGGCTAAATGTATAGACGAAATCGCTCGGATAAAAAGAACATTCGGACAGTTTTTATATAATTTTTCATCTGAAAAAAATTATTAGATCGCATGAGAAATTGTATAAAAAACTAAATCAAAGCACCTTGTCTGTCGTATTCAATGAAATGTGTGTGTATATATATATATATATATATATATATATATATATATATATATTACTTTCGACTGTTTAATAAACAGTTTTTAAGAAATTATACTTGTTAAGTAAATTTATATCTGTTTCTAATATAGATAGGCGTTTCTTTACAAGGTTTTCGAGGTGCGTGTAATGTACAAAGATCTTGACTATATCATTATATTCTCTTCTTATAAGTGCTACTCATTTTTGATATTACTCCTGTCAAAAGTGTTCAACAGATGTGTTTTTGTTATTTGGTATAGATCTTTTCTGATTTTGTATCGCAACTCAATTGGGTTTGATGAACGATCGTTTCCTTTAAAAGAACTTCCCAATATCATCATATTACACAAATTTAGATAAATCATTTTAAATTAGAAACAAAAAAATACTTTCATTTAATATAAATTATTTAACATATACATTTTCATTTTACTTGCTAAAACTTGTGGCCCAATTTAAAAAATAAACTCTTCCACTGTTTAAAAGAAAATGTGTTTCATTTCATTCACTGATGTTTTTTTCATGGCAACTGATCTGACGAGCTTTTTCTCTGGTGCCCTGACTACATGAATTTAAGCGCGCGACTAGATTGGCATGTAGGTCCCTTTTTCTGTTGAAAACGCTAAATGCAACTGCTACTTCTACTCCAACAGTTTCTTTTCTCGCACACCCCAGCTGTGAAACACCATTCCGTTTACATGCTTCCCTGATAACTACAATCTTCAAAAAGTTAAATGCAATGTCAATCGCCATCTTCTGTCTTATTGAATCCCTTTCATCTTTTGTCCTTTCCCTATTCTCACCCTTCTCTTTGACTTTCACTCCCTGTAATCCTAGGCTTAAATGATTAAAAGAAAAATATTGCTTTCGTATGATATCAATGTTCTGGATATATCCTTTATATTGCATCGTTCAGATTAGCCAATCTATTGCAATGCTAAATTGGTTTGTCGCCATGTTTTTTTGTTTTTTTTTTTGGGGGGGGGTCACAATTAAACTATCTATTTGAACAGGAATGCATTTTTATTGACGGGAATGCTTTGTTTTATTTTCGTTTTGATGTTATTGAACCAATGAAATAAACTTTTAAGCAAGCGTCAAAAGATGGTTGGTTAACAATGGAAGAAAACTGGATATATAAAGACGCTTAATAAATAATTTTCTAGAGTGATCTCTGACTGAGAAAGAAAATATAACTGAAAACATTATATTGGCGGGAATAGATGATAAAACAGACAGACAGTCAGAGAGGGGAATCCAGCCACTTGGAAAAATAATTGTTCTCGATTTGCGCTGGCTGCTTCACAACATCTCTATGTCGGACAGCTGCTCGAAACAAGATGGTTTGCGACATGTTCTTCCTTTTACTACAGAATGAAGAGGAAATTGACGCTAGATCGAAATCCGGGTTGATAGCGAACGACGTCGGGTCGACGAATAAAATACCCTTACATTGTTTATTGCTAAAATATAGCAGCTGAAAATACAGACTCCGATTACTTCTTTTTTTCTATTTTTTTCATCTCTTCCTAAATATACATAGGCACATTATGCATACATATATGCGTATGTGTGCGCACGCGCGTTTCTGTGTGTGTGTGTGTTAACATGTTGTATTAAACAGGACGAACAGGTAATGCCTGTTAAAACCATTTCGTGAGTTACTCCTGGTTTTGAATAAGTAGTGTGAACTTGCCGAAATTGTGTGCTATGTTCCTAGTATTTTCGTCCATCGTTGGTTGTTTTCAAGGGAAAGGTAAAATGTCGAGACATGATGTAATATGCACATTGTTCACAGTTCAAATTTGAAATGAACGTAGGTTCACGTGCTCCGCAGATGTAAACAAACTGAGATAGATAGATAGATAGATAGATAGATAGATAGATAGATAGATAGATAGATAGATAGATAGATAGATAGATAGATGTTTGTAAACAATCATGAAAACAGATGTAAACAAACTGATAGATATATATATATATATAGAGAGAGAGAGATAGATAGATAGATAGATAGATAGATAGATAGATAGATAGATAGATAGATAGATAGATAGATAGATGTAAACAAACTGAGATAGATAGATAGATAGATGTAAACAAACTGAGATAGATAGATAGATAGATAGATAGATAGATAGATAGATAGATAGATAGATAGATGTAAACAAACTGCGATAGATAGATAGATAGATAGATAGATAGATAGATAGATAGATGTGCCCATTCATTCTTTTTAGTTTTTTTGTTACTACAGCCAAAGGAAGCCCTTACAGGAGAATACTTAACTCAAGTGCTCACCACTCACCCACTAACTATTGTTTCCATAAAATATCGTGGCATACCAATGACAGGATGTTTTCCTGATATCTGCCAATGGAACAGAACACAGGTATAAGTGAAAGCATGCTTTTTTATATTGACATTAATATAAATTATATGTTAAAAGGTGTCACCGATAATCTATTTTACTTTTTCTGTGTTCATAGCAGATACACTAACTTGCACTACAAAAATAGAATGAAGAAAATGAAATAAAGAATAAATGAAAGAATAAATGAATGAAAAAAAAAACAAAATAAATAACGAATGAAGGATTGAATTAAGGCGAGAAAGAATAAGTGAATGGTGGAATAAACAAAATAAATAAAAAAAAAATGTAATAAGTAAGGAAAATGAATAAGTGAAAGAACGAAAGAAAAAATGAATAATAAATGAAAGAAAAAAGCAAGAAACAAAGAACGAATAAAGAACTGAAAGCAGGAATGATTGAAAGAAAGAATGAATGAATGAATGAATGAATGTAAGATCGAGTGAAGTGAGAAAAAATGAATGAATGTATGGAAGCAATAAAAAGAATGAATGGATAAATAAAGAACTAATGTAAAGAAAGAAATAACAGAAACATGAAAAAGAAAAGAAGGAAGGAAGGAAACGAGATGATATTCGTATTTGTTCAATGGAATGTATTTTTTTTTTTTGTCGTGATACTATGCCATTTTACACTGAAATAGATGGGAAGAATAAGCGAAAAGAAGGTGTTGCGCCAATCTTCCAAATGCGTGTAACCTGCCTCCCTGTGTACCTTGAAACTCAATATTCGACATATCGTTTTTTGTTTTTTATTTTTTGTTTTTCAAACCAAGACCACTAACAGCAATAATGAAATTGTAACGACACCAGCCCTACTAAGGCCACAACCTTTGTTTCTTCATTTAAACAAATACAAAATAAAAAGAGCGCGTTCAACAACTGAGCCAGAACCTAATGTTCTATACCCTGATCCCCCTATTTTGATAGAAACTGGCGTGTAATAATAAGTAAAACCATAAGATTTGTTTCGGCATTCAAAAATAAAACCCATGCTTTCAACAACTGGACCAGAACTTCATGTCTCTCTACTGTCAACTTTCCCCTTTGATATAAACTGGTGAATAAAAGAAATATAAAATCTATATAATCTACATAAGATGTTACGCAATTACTTTGAGCTACCTGCTGCATTTGTCAGTATTCAAAAATATTTATTCTAAAACAAACGTTACTCCCTGTTGCTTTTGACCTAGCTTTCATTTCACAAAAAAGAGTTCTTTGTAGGTGTCTTTTTTTGTTGCTGTTTTTTTTTTTTTTTTACTTTTACGAGTCTGTTTCACGGCCATCAAGCATCGATATTGACTTATAGATAAGGCAGCTCTGATTTTTAAAACCCTGTTCAGGTCATCCGTGAAAGCTTTTGCGCAGCGGCCCAAAGGTTAAGTAACCATTGAATTCAAGCTAAGTTGTAATATTAGCACAGTTGATTGCTTTGTCTTGTGCGCCCAACAATGCTTCCGTTGATGTTTTGCAGATAGAATCGGTGAGGATGAAGAATGGGTGTAAGATTGGTCGAACGGCAGGACTTCAAATAAAGCGGAATGTAATAAAAATCAATGAAGTGGTCGGAGACAGGCCATGAAACCGAGAAGTGCGAGAGGCAGAGAACAAGGCGGAAACACTTCAAAGGGCGAAATTGGCGGGCTGGCTCAAGATTCTCCTGTTAAAACCGACTGATATTGCTATTAACTGTTCGAGGCCAATAATAAAAGTATTCTGGTAGATATACAAAGCGGTAGGAACCTGTTCATTTGTATATACATTTGCAATCTCACAAAACCACGTACACACATACACACTCACGAAATTGTGATAAAATGAGATTACATGAGAGGATCTTATGAGAAAATGATGGACATGGAGTTGTACACACGCACGCGCATATATATATATATATATATATATATATATATATATATATATATATATATATACAAAAATATATATATATATAGAGAGAGAGAAAAAGAGAGATCTGGAATTGAACACACACACGTGTATATATATATATATATATACATATATATATATATATATATATATATATATATATATATATATATATATATATATATATATATATATATATATATATATATATATATATATATATATATATATATATATATATATATATATATATAGTAAGAGAGATAGAGAGAAAGAGAGATATTGTAGACTTAGGAAACAAAATTGAAGAGTGACGATCTGTTTCATGCATCCAGCGAACTTTCATAGTCACCATACAGTGTTCATTCTAATGTCCACATAGATAGATAGATAGATAGATAGATAGATAGATAGATAGATAGATAGATAGATAGATAGATAGATAGAGTCATGTCGGTCTATATCTATCTATTCATCAACAGTGAATTCTGAATCGGCCTTCAGACCTTGAAACGTGAACCTGACAGTCACCATGCACCGTTTATTCCTGTATCAACATTCTCTGTATCTAGAAACGCCCTAGCATCAATACTCACCACTCTCCCCCATAAACATAGAAAAATTTAAACAATATATATATATATATATATATATATAAATATATATATCTCCTGACAATGATTTTCTTCCGTAAACTCTGGTGTTTCTTTATGAGATGCAAAGCAAAATACAAGCATTACGAAAGAGAGAGTGACAGAGAGAGAGAGAGGGGGGGAAGAACGTTTGAGAAAAATTGGAATTAATAATAAAAAGAAAATAATAGCACGTGTGGCTGTCTATTTTATACTAAATCAAATACACATCGTAATGTGTGCATTTCTATACTTGTGTTATAGTATCAGCCTTAGATCAAAGAAAGCCCACAGGAAAAAATACCGACAAATAATTTTCTTATAAATAGTAATATTCATCTTCAAACTCCATCAGTGTACCTGCTTAAATAATGATCCATCTTCCATCTATTTCGTTCTTTTTCACTGGCTTCAATTCCATTTGATCGTCTAATGGATTATTATGAGACAAGATTTCGAGTTTCAAATGATAAACATAAAAGCATATTTCGTGATATATTAAGAAAGATAATTGGATCATCTCCTCCTCCTTCTTCCTCCTCCTCTCCTCATCTTCTTCTCCTTCTTCTTCTTTTTTGTTTCATGTCCCTTAAGGACGAGAACGACCATGGCTCTCTACAATTTTCTCCCACTGGCAACTAATCATGATTATTAGCTAGATAGATAGATAGATAGCTAGCTAGCTAGCTAGCTAGCTAGATAGATAGATAGATAGATAGATAGATAGATAGATAGATAGATAGATAGAGAAAGAGAGTGATAGAGAGGGAGAGTGGGAGAGAAAGAGAGACGGTTGGGAGATATAAATGAACACTTAAGCATATCTTGTTATGTAGTCCGATGTTCGTTTATGGCGATAATCTGATAATCACTGTACAGTGATTATTAACGTAACAACACTGTTTATATCAACAAACACTCTTTCTTCGACAAGGTTTGTCTCGCGAGAAAACTTACGACTGAGTAGTGAGTTTGATTCTCACCGGGTGGCCTAAACTTTCAGAATGCATTTCTAATTACTTTTCCACCAAAAGATTATTGGCATTGAAAGCCTCATTGAAGCGAGAAACTAAAATGTTTAAATCTCTCTCTCTCTCTCTCTCTCTTTCTCTCTCTCTCTCTCTCTCGATAGATAGATAGATAGATAGATAGATAGATAGATAGATAGATAGATAGATACCATTTGTACTTAATTTTACCTTTACACAAATGTGCTCTGCCACACTGGTATTTACTTGACTCCCCACGAAAGCAAGATATGACACATGGTCGGTGTTATGCAGCTATATTTAAATATATAGGTACTTCACCACGCTTAAATGAATAGGAAGTGAAATTTTACAAGACGGGGTTCTAATACACACACACACACACACAAACATGCATATATATATATATATATATATATATATATATATATATATATATATTGCAGCATATCTTCATTCATCAAAAATAGGGTAGGAAAAAAAACTACGGCGCCGTCTTTGAAGGATTTCATTTTAACATCAAGAAACTCATTTGAGAACTGGAAAGGATCATTATAAAACAAATAGGCATAATATAAATCTATTATTCAATGAAAAATTATTGAATGAAGATAAGCTGCATACACATGGTGCAGCAGATATACCTCACAGAAATAACCTTCACATTTGTCATTAGTGGAAATGGCGTCTTCATCTAGCTAATGCCTTACTATTTGTAGGAGGTATTTCTGGGCCGTATATGCGTGAGGTATTTCTGTCCTCTCTCTCTCTCTCTCTCTCTCTCTCTCTCTCTATATATATATATATATATATATATATATATATATATATATATACCGATATATATTGTACCGATTACTTGATAGGTCAATATTTGTGTCTTCATCGTACAATTTATATTTTCGTTTTGTGAAAAACAGAAAAAAAGAAAAACTTGTAGTTCCCTAATTCTCAGCAGAAAAGAGAAACACATGTTTGTACAAACAACTTGTAAAAACACTGGGGAGTGGGGGGGCATTGATTTCTTCACCTTGCTTCCCGATATAGAGAAAGACTTGCTGAATTCTTATTATCTACGTTTTTTTCAATTACGGATTTTCTTTAAGCTTGTGAATAATTTCGCATGAGTTTGCTTACGTGTGTTTGTTCGTATATCTTCGAATTCTCAATTCTGTCTAATCTCAGTTCAATGTCTAGACGAGGCCACTTACGAACTCAAGACAGATGAGACATTTATTATTATACACGCGGCAAAAGCCGTCATCAGAAGCGTTGCGCACGTGTCAATTCGACGTTACTTAGCGCCGAACTTCACAATAAATTATGCGCCGTGAGGCTAACCAGACGGATCGAAAATAATCCCTTGACATGCGTAATTCTGTTTACCGTTTTCAATTAACCAATGACTGGAGTTCCATTGAATTAGATGCGCCGTTACGCACGAATATACCAACAAAACTAGAAGCAAGATCGACGACGCGGCAGATTTCATTACGGTCGAAGAGAAAAGAAAGGTAGTCTGTAAGATGGTTGCTGGCTTCTTGGGACAATTGTCTGAGAGAAAAAACGAAGAAAAATATTATGGAGCGGAAATGAAAAATTTGTGCAGGCATGCGTAGCCTTTGAAGAAATCTGACTAGCAAAGATGCGATAAGAATTTACTCCATAAACTAAGTTTGGCATAAGGCTTCCTCTTGAATATTGTGGATTGAACTCACTACCTCAAATCCGTTAGAAAAATGCAATGAGAACTCTATTGATATTCATTAAACATTTCCATGGATAGATAGATAAGCAAATAAATAAATAGACTGAAAATAGATAGATAGATAGATAGATAGATAGATAGATAGATAGATAGATAGATAGATAGATAGGAAGAGACTGACATAAATTGATAGGTTGTTTAAATGTGTTATATTTTGGAAGAAATTCTTAATATCGGAGATTTTGTAGTTATAAATAATACGGATAAAGAGATCAACAGCGCATGGTGACTGTCAATTTCACTGTTTGAATGATAATCAGAGTATCAGGTAATCAAGTGGTCTTAAAGTGTAAAACAATCATATATAGAGAGAGATAGAGTTGTGGTTATATCTTGCGAGACATATCATGACATAGCCACACGCTTGTCTATCAGATAGATAATCTTAATAATATCTAAATACATTTTCTTAACGATTCCAGTTGCATTTCCGACTACTTTTTCATAGATTTTTACCCATATTTGATATATAAGACAAAAACCCTTTTTTATATATATATATATATATATATATATATATATATATATATATATATATATATATAGTGAACATAGAAGTCAACACTTAGAGGCGACAGTCTGTTTCATGCTATATGCAATCGTGGCCTGACGATAGCATATAGCATGAAACAGACTGTCGCCCTAAATGTTGACTTCTATGTTCACTTTTATATTTACACACGCTCTATCTCTGATATTAAGCACTTTATTCCATAAATATAGCACACCTTAAGACAATATTTCTTTTATATATATATATATATATATATATATATATATATATATATATATATATATATATATAGAGAGAGATATGATAATATTGTTTGATCATCCGTATGGATAATTACAAAGAGGATATAAATCCCAAAAGAGCTCACTGTAAGAACAGAGCAAATGATAATTATGAAAGCGGAGACTTTAGAAATCCATAGAAATATTTTATTTTCAATAAAGTATCGGTTTTGCGAAACAAAATATTATCCTGGATTTCTAAATTCTTTCATAATTATATATATATATATATATATATATATATATATACTGGACTCTCCCGTCTTTTTCGACGTATGGGGGTCAAACATCTGTTCTTAGAACCAACAGCCAGACTACCTGCACATATTATCTAATTGCAGTGGTGAAGACTTGTGCAGAACCAACCACACTTTTTGGAAGAACCGAATACAGAGAAATGGTGCACAGTAAACCACAAGGTTACCAAACGATCTTCCGCAGGTTTTGAATTCAAAGATGTCATTTGCCTCCGTCCGCCAGCCAAAGCTCAAGGACCCAAACTCTCCTGCTAACTATCAATAGCTGGGAGGGGAAGAAGAGGGTGGATTCATACCTTTCCCAAGGCACGTACAGGAATTCTAATGAACTCGAACGCTATCGATTACTCAACAGTATCCCAATACACACACACATATATATATATATATATATATATATATATATATATATATATGATAAAATAAATTACAGATATTATGTCTGCTTATTTTTAATGAAATCCGTTCATAGTCACGGATAATCTTCAGTGTATTGCAATTAAATTATGTGAGAAATGTGTTATAACTATGAAAATCGTTTTTATTTTCCATTTCCCAAGTACTTTCGATCTTCTTACGTTGAAGATGATCGCGGAAGAAGATCGAAAGTACTTGGGAAATGGAAAAATAAAAACGATTTTCATAGTTATAAAAACATTTCTCACATCATTTAATTGCAATACAGAAGATATCTGTCTGTCGGTTCCTATATCGCGGCTTTCTTCTGAAACCGTGCGGAGAATCCTGGTAAACGCTGGTATACGGCCCGCGTCGATCTATATAGTCCACGATATATATATATATATATATATATATATATATATATATATATATATATATATATATATCCATGCTACTCGCTATTACATTCAAATATTCACATTTGAGAAACGGTTCTGTGTAAATATTTATTGAAATTCCATAGAATCTACCTATACATTTAACAGAAAAAAAAGCACAATACTTGGACACATACAAGGGCACGCGCGCAAAAACACACATTAACACACA